GTATGTTGTTTAATTTCCACATATTTGTGAATTTTCCAGCTTTTCTCATGTGATTAATTTAGTTTTATACCATATTTTCAGAAAATATACTTGAAAGGATTTCAGTCTTTGTAAATTTGTTAAGACTTGTTTTGTGACCAGTCCTATGATCTATCCTGGAAAGTATTCCATGTGCATTTGAGAAGAATGTATATTCTACTCCTATTGGACAAAATATTGCATGTATGTAATGTATGTTAGGTTCATTTGATCTAAAGATGGTTCAGGTCCATTATGTCCTTTTGATTTTCTTGCTGTATGATGTATCCATTGTTGAAAGTGAGACAAGTGAAGTCCCCTACTATTATTGCATTGCCATTTATTTCTGCTTTTAGATCTGTTAATATTTGCTTAATATTTTTAGGTGCTGTGATGTTGGATGCATATATATTTACAATTATATCCTCTTGGTGAATTGATCCCTTTTTCATTGTATAATAATCTTCTTTGTTTCCTGTTACGGTTTTTGATGTAAAGTATATTTTGTCTGATATTAAATATAGGTCTTGGTTTCCATTTGCATGGAACTTTTCCTATCCCTTTACTTTGAGTTTATGTGTGTACTTAAAACTGAAGTAAACTCTTGTAGACAGTATATAGCTGGGCCTTGTTTTTATCCTTCAACTGCTTTATGTCTTTTTATTGGAGAATTTAATTCATTTACATTACAGTAATTTTGATAGGTAAGGACCTTACTATTGCTGCCTTATTGTTTTCTAGCTGTTTTGTAGTTCTTTGTTTCTTTCATCCTCTTCTTCTGTCTTCCTTTGCATTATGATAATTTTCTATAGTGTTAATGCTTTAACACTACAGGATGTTTATCTTTGGTGAATCTATAAGTTTGCTTTGTGGTTCCCATGAGGCTTACATAAAACATTTTGTAGTTATAATAGTCTTTTTTTTAAACTTATAACTACTTAACTTTACTTACAAAAACTCTACCCTTTTTACTCTATTTCCTCCACATTTTATGTTTTTTGTTTCAGTTTACATGTTTTCATATTATGTATCCATTAAGAAGCTGTTGTAGAAATGCTTATTTTAATACTTTTGTCTTTCAGAGTTCAGTTAATGTTTACCAGTGAATATTATGTTTTTAAGTTTTCAAGTTACTAATTATTGTCTGTTCATTTCAGTTTGGAGAACTCACTTTAACATTTCTTGTATGGCAGATGTAGTGGTAATAACTCCCTGAGCTTTCGTTTGTTTGGAAAATTCTTTACTCCTCTGTTTCTAAAAAAACATCTTTGCCTGATTAAGTATGTTTGGTTGGCTGTGTGTGTGTGTGTGTGTGTGTGTGTGTGTGTGTTTTAGTCTTTGATTATGTCATCCCACTCTCTCCTGACTTGCAAGTTTCTGCTAAAAAAAATCTGCTGATATCTTGATGGGGCAGGGTATTTCCTTGTATGGGAGACATTTTTTTTTTTTCTTAAGGAGGATTTTTTTTTTAAATTTTATTTTATTTATTTATTTATTTTTAAATTTATTTACTTTTTAAATACATTTGTCTCTGCCTCCCCACCACCACTTTCCCTTGCCCCCTCCCTCCTTCCCTCCCTCAGCTCTTCCCCTTTGGTTTTGTCCATGAGTCCTTGCTATATGCTCCTTGACTTTCCTCTTCCCTTCCCTTTCCCTGCCCCCCCCTTCCCTCTTGTCTCTGTTGATTTCTTTTCCTTTCAGTGTTGCTGGCCATCTTTTCCTTGCATCTTTGCATTGTTGGTTAGGTTCCGTTTATAGGTGAGATCATATGGTATTTGTCTTTCGCCCCCTGGCTTATTTCGCTTAGCATGATGCTCTCCAGTTCCATCCATGCTGTCGCGAAGTTTAGTAGTTCTTTTTTTCTTTCTGCTGCGTAGTATTCCATTGTGTATATGTACCATAATTTTTTGATCCAATCATCTACTGATGGGCATTTAGGTTGCTTCCAACACTTGGCTATTGTAAATTGTGCTGCTATGAACACTGGGGTGCATAGGTTCTTTTGTATTGGTGTTTTGGTGTTCTCAGGGTATAGTCCCAGCAGGGGAATCGCTGGATCAAAAGGCAGTTCCATTTTCAGCTTTCTGAGGAAATTCCACACTGCTTTCCATAGTGGCTGCACCAGTCTGCGTTCCCACCAACAGTGGACTAGGGTTCCCTTTTCTCCACAGCCTCGCCAGCACCTGTTGTTTGTGGATCTGTTTATGATGGCCATTCTGACCGGTGTGAGGTGGTACCTCATGGTGGTTTTGATCTGCATTTCTCTGATGGCTAGTGATGCTGAGCATCCTTTCAAATGCCTCTGGGCCCTCTGTATCTCCTCTTAAGGAGGATTTTTTACCTACAGGGGAACACATAAAAGAAAGTAGAAACTGATATGTTTTCTTCCACTGCCTTCCCTCTGGCCAACCTGCTTATGCGCTTGCTGAAGCTTCTAGCCTTCAGGGTCCACTCCATGGAAATTTGTTTTGGTAACACCATAAGCACAACTGCAAGTTGTGCATGTTAGACTAGTTTTTTATCTGAAGAGTAAAAGTCAAGGTTTCATTGGTGGTTAGAAAAACCCATTTTTGATCTCATGTATAAAACTTTGTTTCTTGGCCCTGATACTTGTCTTTGAGTAGTATAATCTTCCATCTGGCCTCATTATTAGGTTTTGGGGGTAGTGAATGTTTTAATATCTGCCTTTGAGAGCCAGTAATTCTTAAGTGTCATTTAGTTCTGTAGGTAAATATGATGTTCTTTGTGTCAGCTAGTGAAAACAAGATCCTAAACGTCACCACTGTCTTCAAGGATGTCACTCTCCAGAGAGGGAAATAGGCACAAAGTAAACTAAAATGTAATGTGTAAGGGCTAGAACAGTGGTGTGATCACAAAGCATGTGTCACTCCACCCTTGAGTGTGTGTTTATATTTCTAACATTCTAGTAGTTACTACTCTCAAAATGTTTTTTTATGAGGTTCAGGGTTGACACTCATTTTAGAAGTTAGCTGTGCAGTGTTAACTGTGTTTTGTTAATGTTTTCAGGGAGAGACACATTTTATCCCAAACAACACATTAATGAGGTATTTTATCAAGAGTAGCAGCAATAGTTTTGGGGGGGCTTCTTAGTCACAGCCTGCTGAGTTGTGTGTTAAGGGCACTCAAATTTACAAAGCACAGTTCCTTCTTTGAAAGGCACAGTCTTCTGGGAGAAGTAACATTTAGAGAGAGGACAAGTGCAATGCAGAAGCAACTTAAATTTTAACAAGGTTCTGTGGTTTTTAATGTACTGTCACATTTATTCTTCGTGATAAACCTGTTGGGCAGGTTATTGGAAACACTCACTTTGTAAGTGAGATAATTCAGTGGCTTTCCACAATTACACAACTAATGTGTGCCAGAGAGGGGTCCCCTGACTTTAATCTATAGCGCTTTTTAAATTGACTTAGTAAGAACTGAGTAGTTCAAGTGCAAACCAAAGAAGGAGTCTTCACGAGCCCTGTCCAGACACCAAAGAGTGTATCAGGATTTGGTGTGCAGTGAAGAAATGGAGTCTGGGCTGGGCCAACACCAAATGCTGAGCAAAGAACAAAAATATGAAAGTCTGAATTGAGAAACACCTAAGAAGCAGAATCCAAATGGAAATTTGAGATGAGAGCTATTAGGGATTTTGAGAAGAGACAGTGGGGAATCTGGTGATTTGTGAGGGCAGCTTTCAGCCCAGCCCAATTGTACAGTTTTCTTTTGAAGGCTGAATCCCTTCCCTTCTGATTTTCCAGACATAGAGCACTCTGAATCTAAATTGTAATGGGATTAGTAAGATGTAGGGATGTTTATTTGTATTTTGCATGAATTACACAATCATATGTTAATGTTGATACATGGCTCATCCTATTGCATGTATTTTATTTCCAAGATTTATGTTTTAGAACTTCACTTTTTGAACTTTGTGGATGAAATATACTAGATCTGCTATATTTCAAGTGCTCAATAGCTACATGTAGTTAGTGGTTACCATATTGGACAGAATGGGTAAACATAAATTCTTTTAAAATATATTTTAAAGTAATACATGCACATGTAATAATATTCAAAGTATTTAGAAAATAAAAGTACCGTCCCCTGTCTTTCAACCTCTGTCTGTTTCAGGGGGGAAAAAAGTATATCCATCAAAATTTTGTATGTATATCCTTCTTATAAATCACAAAATGATTATATCAGGTATGCTGTTTGACATCTTTTTTAAAAATTAAAACTCTGATAATCTTAATACAGCAATACATTTACCTCTAACTCTCTGTTTTAAAGGCTTCTTGTTTGGAAATGGAATCTACTCATTTCATATTCTAGGCTTTTATGTTGTTTCCTTTTTTTTTCTTTTTGCTAATCAAATAGAGCTGCAATATATAGGTGGCCATTGTTTAGTGTGTTTGTAGGGAAGACTCCTAACAGTGCAATTGCTGAGTGGTCCTTCATGACAAGTGCTGTTCCTAAGCAAAGGGGAGCAGAGCATCTGGCGTGAGGGTAGGGAATAAACAGTAAAGACTGGTAGAAAAGAGAACCAGAGATAAAATAAAAATCAAGAAGCTCTAGCTGTGGGACAACATGATAAATATTTGTATCAGTAGTCTTAAGGGTATTCTTTAAGGTTTTTTGGTACCATCCCTCCTAGGAGTACTTAAGAAAAAAGTTTTAAATATCAATGTATTTTATTGTAAATATATATATTAATATATATAACTGCTATTGTGTTTAGTTTTATTATAAAGATATTGCATATTTATTATATACAGGTTGGAAAATGTAAGACAATATAAGCAGAAAACAAATTTCACCCATACTCAGAAAAAAACAAACATTAATACTTTAATGTCTTGTTTCTGTGTATTTTTATATAGCTGAGATCATATTGTACATACATGTGTTTATATTGATACTTTGCTTATCTACTTAATCTTGTTGATTTTCTTTTATTACTCTTTGCCTGCTTTGTTCTTTAGGTAATAGAACTCTAACATTGTTTTGGAATGAATTTGGATATCAGAATAACAAGGACACAGATAAATCTTTAGATTCTCTTCAGTGTCAAAGAAGACAAGTCATGGCCATCCCATTCATCATTCAGTGTGGTGAGTGTTGAATTTCATTCTAATTAGCAATCATTTAGTGAGTTTCTTAATATGCAAGTCAGTGTGTTCATGAATGGGCTGTAAGGGAGACAAAGGCGGTGGGTAAGACCTGATTCTTACTCTCAAAGAGGTTAGGATCTGGGAACGAGGTTAATATAACCATGGAAATAATGATAATAGAGATGAAATTAAGATAGATGATGTAAAAGAGGCACAACTTTGAAGTTTCAATGGGAAGGAGGAGGAAGTTGAGGCAAGGTTTCATGGCAGATCATTACTTTACCATGATCTTTAAAAATAGAATTTTGATAGGCAGAGACATAGCAGGAGGTGTGTGTTGATATCAAGTGTACAGTCAGCTAAAATTTTTGGGGTGGAATAATAAAAATAGTCATCTTTCTAGTTTTAATACCTAGCACTGTGTTAAATACAGGGTCTGGCACAAATAACACCCCTTTTTATTATAAGTCCTTTTATTACAAAATCATAAGCATATAATGTAACATAACAATATCACACTCAAGCACATCATATGACATTTTAGGTGAAATGTTCAAATTGCTGTCCATCTCGTGTGAGACATTCATGTACCCCACCAACCACACTCAAGCAAGCCTTACTTCTACTGGACCCTGTATATAGTTGGTACTTAGTAATTGATTGCTAAATATATGAATGATGAGTAAATAATAGGCAGAAATACCAGGTTGAATAAACGTGTTAGAGGACCAGAATGCCAGAATAAGTGGTTTTTACTTTGTTAAACAATGGAGAGGCATTGGGCATTATTCAGTAGGAGAATGACTTCATCGAAGCATCCAACATTTACTATGTTCCTCTGATACATCTTCTAGCCACTATACAAAGGGCTAGAGAATTAAAAACACTCTCTACTATCTGCAAGGAATTTGCTCTCCAGCGAGGAATCCAAGCTAACAAATAAAGCGCGCTCTGGTGTGTTAAGTGTTGTAGTTATTTACACTGTGCCAAGTGACCACTTCCCTAACCTGGAGCCTGGGGTGGTCCAAAGAGAACCTAACTGGTCTGATGTGTGCAAGATAAGATCAGAATCCAATTTCCAGCATTATGGAGCTATATGAAACTGGGGAGTTCCCTAATTTCTCTAAGCCTCAGTTTCCTTATTTATAACATGAGGTTAGTGTGTATAGCTACATCAAGCTACATCATACAGTTTTGTGCAGATAAAACGTATTAATACATGTAAAGTTTACTAGGTTCTTAGGATAGTGTATTAAGGTTCTCCAAAGAAACAATTAATAGAATGGGTTGGTGGATGGAAGTACAGGTGGATGGGTATATGAGTGTTTGTATGTGTGTGTACATATATTATACTATATTACATATTATATATAGATATGTGTATAATACCTAATATGTGTAGTAGATATTAATTATAGAGAATTGGCTTACATGATTATGGAGGCAAACAAGTCTTAAGATCTACAGTCAGCAAGCTGGAGACCCAGGAGGGCCATTGGTTTAATTCCAGTTTGAGTCTGAAAGCAAGAGAACCAAGAGACCCAATGATGGAGTTCTAGCTTGAGTGTTGAGAGGCTCAGTACCCAGCCAGAACTGATTTTTTAATTTGAGCAAGAATACAGGGAAAAGCTGATGTCCCAGCTGAAAAGAGTCAGGAAGCAGAAGTTCTTTTTTACTCTCAAGAGAGTCACCCTTTTTTTGTTCTATTTAGGCCTTCAACTGATTGGATGAGGCCCACCCACATTAGGGAGGACCATCTGCTTTACACAGCCTACCATTTCAAATGTTAATCTCATTCAGAACACCTTCACAGACACACTCAGAATAATGTCTGACCAGCCATCTGGGCACTCCCTGGCCCAGTCAAATTGACATAAAATTAACCATCACAGATAATGTGTAGCAATGTTGGCTTTTATCTTTATTATCTGTTTCAATCCTCAGTAACCTTTTCAGGTAACGACTAGTATTAATCTCTTCTTACAGATGATGATTCTGAAACATAGAGATATAATTTACCCATGATTATAGATGTAGTGGTAGAGCTGTTCAGGTTCTTCACCATGGTGCACACTGCCTCTGTTTTAGACGAAGAGAGAGTGGAGTTTACTGAAGACGCATTAGCAGTGTATCTGGAAGGAATGCAGGATTAACATTAAGAATAGCCTGGAAAGAATGGAGTGCCTTGGTCCTAAAAGCAAGGAGGGACTGAAAGGGAGAAATGGACAAAGAAGTCAAAGAAAATGGGAAAGTCAAGTCACTGGAAGTCTTCATGTGGTTTAAGAAGAGGTGGAGAGGGATCTATTACTTAAAATACTTTTTGGCTGAAAGCAGAAACCAGTTGAAAAGAACTTAGGCAGTAATAACAACAATACTATTAACAATAACAACAAGAATAATTGTTGGTAGTGTCCTAGGATAGCTCATAGAATCGTAGCTTAGTTTGTCAAGTATAATAGCATACAATCAAGGATTCACTTGTCTTTGGCTCAAAATATACCTCATCCTTTTGCTATATGCAACCTGACATCTCACTGTGATGGATTCACTTCTGATTGTGGTTTTCTTGTGTGTGATTTTGTTGTGATTATCAGATCTTTGCCTTAAATGGAGAGTCTTGCCTGTCTCTACTAATTATCAGGAAAAAGAACTTGTTGATATCTGGATTTGTGCTAATAATCCCAACCTCTTGGAAAACAGGTAACTTCTGGTAGTTTTCTAAAATTCTTTATTGTTTTTAATTCCTAAAATACATATGTACAGAACTGGAAAATGTCAGCTACAGATACATTTTAACTTAGTAGCTGTTGCCCCCTGGAATTCTTTCTAGCACCTTGGCCCCTGTGGAAAGAGATTTCATTTGTGTGCTTTTCCATCAAGATAAAAGAGTCCTGCATGTAATGATCTGCAAAAGCTGGGGTGTACAGCTCTATGCTTTCACTGGCGGGAGACTGCAACCGGTGTTTAAGAATTCTGCCCTTCAGTTCATTTTCACACAGCCTAGTGCCTTATCATACAGGAGTTTTATCCAGAGGGTGTCTCCAGGGAGACTAAACTGTTAGACCATGTGCTTTTTCTGTTTAAGTCATATATTGATTTCATTGCTCTATGCTCTTGGAGGAAGAAGTTCAGACTAAAACAGGAAAAAGACCGATTAAATATTGATGAATGTGTTATTGTAAGCCCTTTTAGATGTACTCTTTTTCTTTTGGGGAGGAAGAAGAGTTAGTATACCCCTTTAATAAAAGTACTCCTAAGCTAGGCATTGCTTTTCTGTGGATTTGCTCCTAGTCCTTTGGCCTGGGTAAGTGGATCAATATTGCTAGTACAGACATTACGGTAATAGCTCTTGTTGGATTATTTTTATCCAGCCTTGACAAAAGAGCTAATAAAAAAAATTTAAAAAGAAAGTATTCAGAAACTGCTCCTAGAGCCCCAGCCACCCGGGGTGCCCAGGTTAATCACATTTAGAAACTAAGAAAAAAGGTTAGCTGACAGGCCTCTTAGATTTCACATGATCCAGGGGTTTTTCAGTTTCCCTTTCTTGGTTTGCAGTGGAACCTGCCCCGCCTCCCAAATAAAATTTTCTTCAGACCCAAAATATGTGAAACAGATAAATGCAGAAGTGTCCTGGTTTGAACTGAAGGTTGGGAATCTGGGGGTCAAAGTTTCCATCCACTTTACATTTCTGTTCCCTACTCTCTGCAAAAGGCCTGGAGATTCAGAGAGCCTGCTTATAAATGACATAGTCTTACTTTGTCATTTTAGAAAAGTGAAAAACAAAGCCCAAATCGGGGCTAAGAGTTCATGAAGCCACTGGCCAAGGTCTTTTCATTCCTAGCTTGATTTCAGCCCTAACTTGGAACTTACGTATCTCCCAGAGAGGAATAAAGTGTTGGCCTAGTTTCAATATTAATAGTCTGATTTTCATTGTCAGTGTAATTATTTTTAGTGATGTGTTGTTTTTTGTTTTTGTTTTTTCAATTTCTGTGTGAAAAGGCCTGTGCTTGAAAATGTAAATAAAATTAAGCCTCAACCCTCAAAAATAGTTAATAATCTTGATCACTTATTGTCAGCTAAGAACTTTTAATTCGGGGAAGGATAATGTTTCCGAGCTCGGCCCCTGGAGGCAGACTGCTGCGTCTGTCTCCCTGCTCCTTTACCTGTGAGGCCTTGGACAAGTATCCAGTGTCTTTTTAACTCAGCTTCCCATCACCGAGAATGAGATGTAGTAACAGTATCTTTTGCATCCTTCCTGGGTCTAGCTGAACACCTTGTAAGGTGAATCTGCTATGTCCCTGGTCACTGGGGGCCCCTTAATAACAAGGCAAGAGAATTTTGGCCCCTCTCCACAGATCTAATCATAGCACTGGGAACCTGTCCTCTACAGCTTTCCTTATCTCTTAATTATCATTACGTATACTCTTACCCTCTTCTCCTTGAATAGTGGTGATGCCTTCAAAGAGCACTGCTTCAAAGCTGCATTAGTTCTGCCTCTTTTACACATCAAAACAGTGCCACTTGTGATGACAGCCAAGATAAATTTAGCCATGTTGACAGAAAACTGATGGACCTTAAAAGTCTAAGATGCAAAAAGTCTTTTTTCTTTTTATCATTTCTTTTTAAGCCCTTGATTCTTCAAATATACGGACATAATTTTGACCATCTGCATTTTATATCCACTGAAAAGATTATGACAAAAATAGGGTTCAAGTGACAGCAAGAGATTGAGGGGAAATATAAAGAAAAAATTCCTGACTATAAAGGCAGTTACCTAGGAGTTGACGCTTCCTTATAGGAGACCATTGACAGCAAGTAGATACGGTGGTTGTCAGGGGAAGGGAAATGGATCTAATGATCTCTCACGGTCCTCTGATTCAGTACTGGAGGCTGGGCTTTGAGAATATACTCTGAAACAGATGATTGTTAGACAAGCCCTGATGAATACGTGCCATTGGATTGGGATAGAATCATGTAAAGTTGGTGTGTTGAAATGATGAAAAGTAGAGTATAACTATTTATTAGGCAATATTTGATGAATGGAAGGACAGAGTAATGGGGTGAAAAGTGGTGTTATCTACATTTACAGAAAATATAGTTTATTGTAAGTAGTTAATTACCAGTTGTCAGCAGGGTTAATGCCAGTGAACAGTATTTGAATAAACAATGTGTGTAACCACAACTCGGGTAGGAAACATAATAACAGCTCTCTTTTTATATAGCAATTATATATATTATCTCATTTCACCTTTACAATAACCCCATGGCTTTCTCTGCTTCTCTGAAAACAGTGAGGCTAAGAGAAGTCCAGTGACTTGTCCAGGATGCCTCCTTAGGGTTAAAACTTAAAGCCATGATTTTAAGGCAAAACATGGATGCTTTCTGCCTTACCACAGCCCCTCTCTGAAGGCATCCTTTACATTTGAGAAAGCCTAATTCCAGTCTAATCCTTTATGGTGACAACAACTACACCATTTTACAAATAGTAGTATCAGAGTTGGAGGCTCGGGCCGGGTGAAGAGGAGCCCTTTTTTCCAGACCACCGAAGCCTCTTTTTGTTTCCCACTTTAAGCACACAGGGAAGGTAGACGTTTTTGTCACAGTACGCAAGAAATGGCTATCAGTACACTTCGTTACATTCATGCTGTGTATTTATCTGCATTGAAAAGAGGGAGCACCAGCAGAGTAAAAATGATGACTATCATTTGAACCAAAAAAAGACTGAATTTTGAAAAGGATGTTAAAAACTATCTATAGGTTGCATTGTATATTAAAATTTAATTTGTTTCCAAAAATTTTTGAATACAAACGAATGAATCACACTTTAATAAAAATACTTGTGGCTTCCCTTTTCTGAATAAAAAGTTAACGCTGCCACAAGGTTCTTTTCTCCCATGAAATGGAAGCCTTTTAGGTACCACCTCACAGAAGTCTTCACCTCAGCACTACAGGTGGCTGCAGGTACAGTAGGTGTCCCCTGATTTGTGCATCTGCCGCCTTTCTTTGAAAGGAATAATAACAACAAATACCATATGTGGGTGGAATTGTTTTTATTTTTTTCACTATAGTACTTGAATTTAATTGTGTTGTATGTCATTCTTCTCTGTTGGTGGGGGCAAGAAAAATACAAGCTGTAGCTGCCCCAAAGCAGAGAAATCATGGGTTTGATCTGCTTTACTTTTTCCTGTATTATTTCAGTTGGGAGAAGGCCCTCTCTGGGTTCTCAACCTTCTCCTCCCTCTCCTCACCTAATGTACATTTATTTTGTCCTGCCCTCCTCCTTTTGATACCTATAGAAAAACCCTGTTTAACACAGGCTCTAAGAACTGACCTTAACATTTTGTCCTTCACTGCACATACCCAGGCATGAATGAAAGCCATGCCCATTGGAAGTTGAATCTCTTATCCTTGCAAAGCCTTGATACTGAACTGAACAATATAATCTTTCAATTTTTCAACAGCCTAGCTTACTCAGCTCCCACAACATAGCCACAAAACCAAAAGTAGGGGGGAAAAAAGGGCCTCAAACCTTCCAAATCATGTCTCAAAAGTCATTACTGTTTTTCGTAGCCATAACAAGGGAAACCCTCGTTCACCTCCTGTTACTGATTTACACACAATTCTACTTGATGATATTATACATGTTCTAACACACTAGTGATTAGAAACAGCCCCTCAGGAAGGTTGGGAAGCAGAGTGATCATCAACAGCAGATGCACTGAAAACAGCAGGGAGAGAAGACTGTTGAAGCAGGGCGGGTGGGACTGGGGCGGGCTCTTTAGTGAAGGACTCCACTCTGCCCCCAAGGCTGTCAGTGAACATACTATCACAGCAGTCCCTGGTCTTCACAGTGACCCCAAAGCACCGTGCAAAGGATCCATGTGTTCCAGAGGCCGAATAATTTGGTGTATTGTGGACAGATATATGGATTTCTGTCGCTAATATTTTTGGGGAAAAAATGTTTAGCAGTAATAAGATAAGCTTTAGTTATCTAGAAACCTTTTGCAGTCAGTGGCATTCATGACAATGTAAGATAATGAAGCATTAGTAAATAAGGAAGAGTCATTCTGGTAAATATATACTACCTTTCACATATTGCATTAAGCTCTTTTTTTCCATTAAGCTATTTTTTCACACAAATTGGAGCTTTAAGGTCATGTATTACCTAAAGTCATCAATACAGTGCTCTTCCCTTATATTCAGATTTTGGATATACGACATAAAGAGTAAGTCCTTGTAGAAGTGAATAATCTTTTATAGACAGTAAATATTTTTATATTTCCTCCTAATGTTATTATCTCTTGTACTTGTTGCTTGCAAAGTTGTCAGCAGAAAGAACACTTACCTTCCATTCCTCTGGGCACCATGAGCACAGTATCACCATCAAAAAATGAGAAAGATAAGCGACTTCAGGAGTCAGTCCAAAAGTATCAGAATCGACTGGCAGAACAGCAGCTACAAGTAAGCAGTTATTAATTCTTCCCAAAATCTACCCTGATGTTTGAGCTGTTGGTTTCATGTGTGCAAATTGACTGATGTGGTTTACCCAGGTAAAATGGTCAGCCTCTATTTTCTGTCCCCTTTTGTCTCCTCCTTTTAAATTTGGATCTAAGAACTGTTCTAAATGTGAGCACAAGTGCCCCAGGGGTCCAGACAGGGACAAGAGTTCTTAAAAAATACTGTATGTGTGATATCTAAGTCCAACCACTCTGCAGTGCATGTGAACAATAGGGGAGTTTATTTCCATTCTACAAATGCACACAGAGCCTCCTAGAGGTCAGCCAGGAGGTTAAAGGTCATGTGGTCCAGATGGGGACACCGATCTGTATGACTCCAAAGAATGGGCTGTTTTTATTTATTCCTTAAGGGTGGGTTTTTCAGATAAAGAGTTCTTTTAAAAAAACATTAGCCTATTAATACAGAAACTCAGAATCGTATTTAGTTAAGAAAATGTAATAAGTAAAACATTACTATCAGTGAATGTAGGTATCCATGACAACTTCAAGTGAAGGAAAAAAGGTGGCATGCAGAAATATTGTCTCTGATCTAATAAAGTCATTAAATCTCTGTTTACTTTATGGATCCAACACCCAAATTTAACTTTTCTGATTGTATAGCATGTCAACCTCCTCAAATAGAACCTGAGAAGGTCAGCGGTGTATGTCCACATGTCTGATCCCTCTCTAGATGTCAGGACGTAAAATGCTCATTCAAATAAAAAAACTTTTGTGGAGAGGGACTTAAGACCCCCTAGACTTAATGCCTTTTATGATCTATACTCATGGGTTTTTAGAAGGTGACTTTTTTCCTACCCCAGTTTTCACTTTCTGTCCTCTCCCACCTTGCTACAGATCTGCCTGCAAATCAGCTACCACCTGGATTCACAGCCAAAAGAAACCCTCCCTTCCCTTTTAGGCTGAAGTCTCAGGGTTTCTTCAGGGAAAATACTGAGAGTCACTTTGGGAATGCATTCTCCAGTGCGTTCCTTGTGTTCCTGAAAGCAGCTCAACTTTTTACAGTTTTAGAGCCTCTATTAATGGGTTTGATAACAGGTCAGAAATAAAGAAAGGCGTGAGAGCCAGCGGTTATTTTTATAAACAATTAGGTGAGGTCAGATCTTTCCGATGTGGAATGTCTTAATCTGTTCTGCTTCCTATTTTGTTTACCACTCCTTGCAGCTCTGTGAAGGCATTCAGCGCACCCTGAATTGCTTTTATCTTTGTTGGATTATTTTTCCCTATGAAGACCAGAGCTGACCCTTGGAAGTAATAGTGCCAATCATAAAGTTTTAATTACCTTACATTTGTTTAGGATTGGATGTTTTATTCATTAGTCAGGTAGAGATTTCAATGGTAGCTGATGGAATAACAGATTTGGGCCATCCATTCTGCTTATTCTTTTTTTCTTGGTAGTTGATTTTTTCATAAAAAGTTGAACCAAGTTTATAGATTCGGTCTGTTTCAGATATAAAAAGTTTAGCAGTACTCAAATGGAAGCTTTCTCCTACCAGTTCAAGGGACAGAGACCCCCTCAGCATCCTCCTTATTCCCTGTTGTGAAAATAAGCCTAGCATCTCTGTATCTGGAAATAATTAGACGCGTGACGTGTAATTATGGTCTTCCCACGTCCCGTTCCTCTCCTGCATCCCACTATCAATGCCCACGTATCCATTGACCAGACCTGTGGGGCTAGTATAAAAATGACCTAAATTTGCACACCCCATTTCTTACTGTCTTGTCCAGATCTAAAAAATGAAGAGTTGACTAGGTAAATCAAAGACCTTCTGGAACTTAGATTCTGTGGTTCTGGGTTTTTGTCACTAACGAGTGGGAGGAATATAATGGCAAGGTAATATTATGGTACTAACAGCAGAAATCAGCAGCTACAGCCCTTCTCCACCCCACTAGTGTGTAGAGTGACTAAGTCTAACTACTAGGAGCAACACCCACAGGACGCCTTAGTTAGAGAATACTCACAATGAGTTAGAAAACTATTTTGATAAAAGAGGTATTCCAGTGATTGGGCCTGTTCCTCTAGGAGAAAATGAAGTAGCTGGGTCTAGAGCTGTCCTTTAAATAGATGGTATCGTACATAATGCCCACCATGTTACAGCTAGTTAAAACAATTACAACAACAGAGGGAAGTGAAGTTCAAAGAAGTCTAATAACTTGACTGAAGTCACACATTTTTAAATGGGGAAGTTGGAATTTGTTTCCTTTTTGCCTCATTCTAGCACTGATCTCATAATGTCACAGGATTAATACAGACACAAAAGACCTGAGAAGATTTACAAAGGCAACAAACTGATGTATTGCAAATCATATTTGTTAAGGGAAAAACGTTAAGTTTTCCCCAATAAACCTAATAGGAGAGTTCAAATTCAATAATTGATATGCGACATCAGCAAGCCAACACCCTCTTTATAATCTGCGCTTCTGAAACAGTCCTTTCCACTTTCTCCTTTCTGAGTAAATGAGTGAGTAATCTGTTCTGAACTGCGTGGTTCCAGCTCAGCTCATTCCTTAGTACCTGTCATTTTCTGTACTGAGTGACAAGTGCCACCTGCTGGCCAAACAATGAAGCATTGCCGTTTTCACTGTGTCTCTTGGATTGCTCAGCTACTAATTGGCATATTATCTGGATAATGTTTACTCTATTTTTCAGTAGACCCAGACAACAATTTAAAACCATAAAGTAGAGTTATAAAATCAGTTTCTCTGAGGTTTATGATGACTTTCCAGTCCTCAATATCCCCCCTTTTTCAGTTTTAACTCACAGTTTAGATTCTCTTCCACCTTCTTTTGTATGACAAAGATGAATATGTCATGATCATACAGAAGAAATATAGTTTAGGATACATTTCATTCAGGGAGTTATTTTTGGTGCCACTTTAAAGCCAATTGATGCTCTCAATCATTATAAGAAAGATGGTATCTTGATTCCCTGAATGAAGCACTCTCTGCATTTACCCATTTGTACTTACGAAATATTAATGTGTAGTATGATTCTGTGATCAGTATGTTTGGGCATATGTACTATATTGCTTATATACTCTTTAAGTCTTTCTGGGTACATCTTTTCTGATCAATTAATTTCATTTCCTACAGTGAGTCTAGGCTCTCTCTCCCCTGACACTGACTACTTTTCTGGCGTTAGCTTCTTCCCTCCCATGGGGCTCTTCCATGGTGCTGGCCCTGTTCTTCACGTGCGCTCTCCGCTTCTGTGCTGCCCAGAGGGCCCTCCTTCCTGCTTCCTGTCTGAAGTGGCATCTCGCCTCTTCCCATCCTTCAGGGTCTGAAACAAATGTAATTCCTCTATGAAGTCTTTTCTCATGTTCCCTTGTCCTCGATGCATGCCTTTCTTCGAGCATGTTTTACTTTCTACCTGGTATTGTAGTTACTTTTGTATCCTTTGTCTCCTATATTAGACTGTAAGTTTTATGAAAGAAGGGACCATTTTTATTTCTCTTTTGGATTCCCAACAACACTTACACCTGGGTCTTTTATGTAATACGTGTTTATAAAAAAAAAGAGCAAAGGATCAAAGGCATTTGATTTATGCAGAATTCTTTACAAATAAGTCCAAAAATATTTTTCATTTGATCGGATTGGTTGACTCCACATATGTTACACTTAAAGCCTTTTGCACATGTTATTGGAAACCAAAACATCCTTACACTTGGTCAAAATAAAGTGTTGCATTTGCGTGGGAGTACAGAGACGGTATTTGGATTTTATGTGTCATATTCATAGTCTTTAGATCAAATGAATAGCCTGTGTAAAATTCCATGCCTGTTGAAAAGAACTCCAGCAGAAGCATTCTATTCTTTTGTAGTGTTAACGTGGATGCAAAAAAAAAAAAAAAAATGAAACAGTTAATCTGATAAGCCCCACATTGGTTGTTTTCGCAGCAAATGTGCAGCAGAGAAGACGTGCTGCACGTTTAGCTGTGTTTTCCAATTGAAATGGCATATCTGAGTACAGCTTTGTAATGAAGAATGTGAACACATCTTCCCATTTACAGTTTAATCTTTTTAATGTGTCATTTTTGTGTAGGATGCTGAGATTTCAAATCTGTTTAACTACACAGACAGATGTCTTAGAAAATATATTTGTTCATCAAGAGTCCTTTCCAGCATCCTTACATAAACTGCCATAATCTAAAATTTATGACACCTAAAGACCTTTGTCTAACAAGAGGCTATTACACTCACTGTAGTTGAAATATTTTACCTTATTACTCTTGCTACAAAGATCTCATTTCTCTATGGTGATGCATTGCTTTTCCAAAAGGGAAAATGTGTAATATATTCACACTTGTGGGCCCTGTGTTCACAGAATAGCAAATGAGACATTAAACAAATTGCTCCTGACAGATTAGTTCAGAAGTTTCTGGAAAGCGAGCATCATGTGTTCTTTTTTTCATGTACCTCTCACCATCAGTCCTGGCTCACTATTGGGCACAGTAGGGATTTAAGAAAAGCTGTTTCACTTCCAGGCTATTTTCTTATTCTTTCTTGAGGAATCGGTGTCACATTATCTGCAGAATAGAACAGCATCCTTGGTTTACTAAATGGGGACAGCAGCAGCAGCTAGAGGGCCATCAAACAGTCTGGCTTTGGGGCAGTGTGCCGTGGTGAGACCAGGGTATTCCTTGCTCCTGGCTTCATCGATCAGCCTGTTCTGCCCTGGAGATTGGGGCCAAGCAATACCATCCATTGTTGTTTGCTCCCGGGTTTCACAGAGTGACCAAATGCTGCCAGCGAGGGCCCATGTGTGTCCCGAGTGAGCTCATTCTTACTCCAAGAGGGACAGAAGTCGCTTTGACAGTAGTTGGCAGTCTTGCCACATGTCAATCAGTCATTTCTATTCCATCCACAGAGATGGAGAAATAAGTCGAGGTTCAGGTATATTGCCTGAAATGATTTTTAATGGAGGAAATACTAATTTGGGTTTCAATGC